ACTATACTACCGAACACATCGGCAGCCCAACAAGACAAAGAACGAAGCTATTGAACACACCGGTAGCCTAACAAGGCACAAACAGCACCAAGAGACCCTTAGTACATGTCAAATGCTAAGGGGATACCCCCAAAAAAGGGGTCTTAACCTGGGAGAAGAGCCTCCCTACATCGGAGCGATTCATCCGAGAGATGAAAAAGATCCGAAACAAAGCTAGAAATACCGGAACAACGTTAAGAAAAAGGCCATGCAATATTCTCTTGGGCCAAAGCAGAGAGCTCCAACAAAATCATCAAACGACGAAAGAGAAATATGAAAAATGACGCCTTGAGATGGCGTGGTGGCTGAACCTTGGACCGTCACGGGAGACGAAACTTATGCCACCTATCATATAATTCAATTTGGAATCAGAGAGGAAAATTAAAAATATGAAAAGAGAATAAAAATCAAATCCTAAATAATTGTCTAAACATTAACATATAATAAAGACCCAATAAATTTGACATAATCATCGAATCAACTTATAAATATGATTTCCAACAAAAGCAATTGTGTATGATCATTGTGTGTTTTTAGCGTGGAGATTGATATAGAGATTACATATCTTATTGACTCACAATGAGTAAAAAAAAAAAAAAAAAAATGAAGAAGATATTAATTAAAATGGACATATACAGAAAACTTTATAGACAAAACATATACACATAATATTTATTAAGAATGCACAAGAAGAAGAACTTGAGAGTTAAAACGTGAACTTAATTAAGCTATACTTTAGCATTATATCATTGTGTGATAAGGTGGAGTACTACTGGTCCTACTAGCTATCTTGCCGTCCAGAAAAATTCAAGTAAAATTACAGGTTTTGTGACTTAGTTTGGATAAAACTCCGAACACTCTAATTATTAAAAAATAAAAATTAAAAAATCAGGCAAAATATTTCAATTGAAGTTATATCCATGCAATGCAAAGTGATGAAATCCACCTTTAAAAATTTGAACCCTATATCACAACTCAAATCAGAAATGACATTCTGCCTCCAACTTATCAACTAATAATAAATAAATAAATAAAATGGAATAGTTGATACACACAGTGTAGGGGTTGTGATGACTCATGAGCCCATAAAGTGTATCTGGGGACGGACGTCGGCTTGAACAACAATTAAGACACATAAATACATGTCAAAAAACTATAAACATACCACATCAAATTGTCGGTATATTTATAAATATATATATACACACACAATTAGTGACGGACCCAGAAAATTTAGTGAGGGGGGGCGAATTTTTAATTTGTGGGTACAAAATTATATGATGGGTTCATTTTTGTAATTTTAATAGGGTTTTTTTTCATAAATTTTTAAAAAATTTAAGTATAAAATGAAAAAAAAAAAATTCAGTGGGGCAAATTATAATTATAGTGGGGCATCTTCATAAATTATCAAAATTTGAAGTATAAAATGCTAAAAAAAAAAGAATCCAGTGGGGACGAATTGTAATTTTAGTAGGGCATTTTCATAAATTTTAAAAACATTAAGGTATAAAATGAAAATATTAAAAATTCAGGGGGGCAGATGCCCCCCTAGTCCCCTGCTGGGTCCGTCCCTGCACACAATACATGCATATATACAAAGCTGAACTTGTACCGTTGTACGTATATATTTTATGGACTCATGGAGTCATGGACCTTCTGTATATGTGCTCAATTAATAGAAAAATTAGTAAATATAAACAACAATATAATTAATGCACGTTAGGCAGGGAATAACGAGTAGTACACGTAGCCATATATTGTAGAACCGCGTGGCTACCAGAATTATTGTACTACTGTTTTATTTTATTTTATTTTCCTTTCTAATAATTCTAAAAAAATAGTAATTTGATGATCAAATGTCGAAAAGGTAGAGTCAAATCTAAGTTTTTGGAGTTTTATCAAATGTTGACTTGGATATGAAAATTTATTATAGATTTTCTTTTGATTCCCAAATTGCCCATCCTATTGTTGTTGTGAAATTATATTACTACCCTTACCAACTCTACTAATTGACTTCACAATAATACATTTGCATCTCGCCATTACATATCACATGGTGTCATTAATTTTCATTACTTTTGTTTATATATATATTTTTTCCTAATGTGTGGTTTTTATTCAACAAATAAATTACATGAAAAAAACCCTAGAAATTGGACCGAACATAAATAGGAAGAATTTTAAAAGTAATGAAATTAGTAATACAAACTATAACGAAGTCATCAAATAGTCTGCACTTAGACACAAAACAATAATGGGTTTTCATAATAAAATAGGACTACCGATAACAATACAAAGTTCTGGACTTAAATCAACAATGGCGAGACAGAGAGGCATCAACAATAACTCAATAAGAACATGAAGTAATAAAAAGAGATGAAGAGAGAGAGAGAGCAATCACTTGGATAATTGGGTCATTTCGCAACGGATAGTTTAGGAATTAAAAGAAAATAAAAGAAAACTACAATAAATTTTCATGTCCATGTTAGCATTTCATAAAACTCTATTAATTTGAAAAACTTAAGTTTGATTCCACCTTCTTGACATTTGACCACCAAAATACCATTTTTTTTTTTAAATTATCCCTTTTTCTTATTTGGGTAAGTAAATATAATAATAAAACTGTGTTTGGTAGTTTGAGAAGACAAAACTAGCTGTCACCTTTTTAACTCCTTGTTCATGCTTAAAAGTACAAAGAGGATCGCTAGTGACCAAGTTTTTTAAGGTCTTCAGATAATAACTGACACCCTAACCCTAATCGTGCAATGCCGGCCACAGCCAACAAGAATTTCCAAACGAACAATATCTGATTTTGTTTTTTTTTTTTGGAGTCTGCAATCACTACACTGTTTTAATTTTATTTTCGGATTTTATTCTCTTCATTTTAATTTTATGGTTTTAATGGGATTAATTTTTGTATAGAGATCGTGCAATGGGCGGTGCAAACCTCCAATTGGTATACATTGACTCAGAGAACTTTCTTCAAATATAAAAATGGTTATATGTGTGTGTGTGACTGTGTGTGTTTATTATATATTTATCAACCAGAATTAGTCTCCATTCGACGCGTAGGATTGAACCGTGAGAGTCGCCGGAATCTAAGTTGGGAATTGACAGTTAATGACTAGATTCAATTTAAGAGCTAAATCAGTTTGCAAGGTTAATTAGTAATGTACTGCATAATGTAAATTGATTTCTTCAAATTATATATATATATGATCGCACAGCTGGTTTTGGACCACTTTTGGTGGTGTAGAATTATGCACCCTAGGTAGACTTTGGTGGTGTAGAATTGTGCACCCTGGGTAGACTATTTGTGATTTCATATTGTTTATTTGGTGCCAAATCACTGAGTGTTACCTAATCTTTAACATAGGGTTGATTAAGTTTTCAAATTTAAAGCTAAAATTATAGTACTTTTTGATACATCTTATTAATAAATGTTAACTTGAATGATTTAAGTCTTTAAGATAACATAAAAGTATAGAGAAGGCAACAGAAAATACTCTAAGCTATCATAAGACTTTGTCAACTAGAGTTGGTCATGAATTAATGACCTGTTTCAAAAAGATTTAGTTTATGTTTGGAAGTATCAATTCGGTGTCCTGAATTTGAGAATAGAGCAAGTATAGTTCAAAATTTGTACTAAATTTTTTCAATTTTAATTCCAAAATGCTGTTTGAGTGCCGCCAAACATAACATTTGAAAAATTGGACTAAATTAGAATCATAATGATCTCTAGTAGCTAGGTGTTAGTGCAATTTAATTTTTTATTGATATTGCAAGGGACTGCAGTTTGATTCAAGTTGGACGCCTAAATATCGACAATATAATGGATACAAGCCTACAAGCAATTAAAAAGTGATCATTTACAATGCTACTAAGTCGAGTTATTCATTTTATCGTGTCATCGTTAGAATTAAGACTGAAGTTCATGGTCTTGTATGTCTTACTGTTTTAGATGTGATGTCAACAATTAACCTGTTTTAGACATCATGTGAACAATTAATGGGCACCTCTCGTAACCTTGTCTTACTGTCGTAAATATTGACAACCAGATGATATATAAACAACTTCGGCATTGCATTCAACAACATAGTTAATCCTCCAAGGTAATTTGGTTCCAGGATATGGGCGATTAGGGTTTCATGTTTATACTCAATCGATCAAGAGAAATAACTTGTTATAACTCACAAATGTATGATGACATATCAGTACAATACATGCATGCATGGTATACATCAACTCTAAAATTAAGTAGAGGAATAAAACCTGGTTAGGTTTAGGTCATCTGAGGATTCCAAGGGGACAAGGAACGAGTTCTACGGTTACCATGTCTGGTTCTGAAAGAGAATTTCGACTCAGCTCCACGATCAGACTTTGCTTCTGATTGATCATAATTTTTTATTTGTTTACCAAATTCCCTCATTATACTAAAAACTTCCCCACGTTCTCTCAGTTCCAAAAAATGAGAGATTAATTTCTCTCTCTTCTTACTCCCATCACTTTCGTATTCTCTGCCTAACTCTATCATCATTTATCATCTAATTAATCATACTTAGTCACATTCACAATGATTGGGCTTTGACAGTTAGACACTCCCATGAGTCTCAATGCATTTTTAGCAAGTCTAAGTAGGTTTAATGCATTTGAAAGAATGGTATTATTTTAACCCATCATTGCTTGAACTTGGTCCCCATCTGAGTTGTACTTGGCCTGGTGTTGGCCCCACAGTGGACTCCTGACATAGTTAACAAAAATTGGGACCTACCCCAGAATTATGATTAGGAATTAAGAATTTATTTCAATATAAAATTAAAGTCAATCCATAGTAACATTCTTTGCAATCCTTGGGTATAAATATGTTGCCAATTTTTTTTTCTCATATCAAGATCCATCAAGCCTTTCTATTAGTACTATCACTAGAAAATCAGAATACTCTTAAATTTCTTTCCCCAAAAATGGAGGCTTTGGGGGCTTTTTTTGAAGAAGAATGGGAATCATTGAGCAAAATGTTCTCCACAGAAGAGGCTAATTTCATGGTGCAGTTGCACGGTCACGATGAGCGCGGCGGTCTGAGCTTTGAAACTTCATCACCCTTCTGGCCGTCTGATGAAGGCTATGAAGCTAACACAAATATGGCTGTGCTTGATCAAAATTTATTTTATTCTTCTGCTATCAACTCTAATTTTCAGTATTTTTCTCAGGAAAGTAGTACTAGTAGTGGTAGTAATGTTGACACCTTTTTTCCCAATCCAAACCATGAAAACTACCACCTCAATCTCAATGATTCTAACCATATCTCAATGACAAACAATGTCTCCGAGTCCATGGATTTTTATATGATGGACAAGAAAAGAAACAGCTCACTGATTAATCCAATTCTTTCCGATGATTTAATGGAAGACATTCTCTGCTTGAATGATGAAATGAGCAGCGACCAATTCGGAAATGTAGGTCAGCCAGAAGCTAATACTGATCCTAGCAAGGAGCTGCAGCTCAAGAGGAAGTTCGATGTGCCAGAACTACACATTGACAACGCGTCTGTGAATCCAAAGAAGTCTCGGGTTTCAAGAGATGTAAGTATATATTTCCCTTCCATTTCTTAAGAATCTAGTGTAGAATTTTGTGTAGCCTGCTATAGATTGTGGTTTCTTATATTGATCATAATAATGCAGACAAAAAAATGTAACAAGAACGCGCAAGGAAGGAAGAGCCAGAAGCTCACCACAAAAGGCAATGTCGACGAAGAAGAGACTAATATTGCTAGACCAAATGGACAGAGCTCTACTTGTTACAGCTCAGAAGATGATTCTAATGCTTCTCAGGAGCTAAATGGAGAGGCCACTTTGGATTCTAAAGGGTCCGCGGCTCTCAACAAGAATGGGAAGACAAAAGCCTCTAGGGGTTCTGCAACTGATCCCCAAAGCCTCTATGCAAGGGTAACAAAACTTCCACTATATATATATATATACACACACTTGAAATTATTTGAATTGAATGTGACACAATTTTTGGGTTTCTATCTTCAATTACTCATTAGTCTTCTTTCTTTTTCCTCCCCATTTCAGAAGAGAAGAGAGAGAATAAATGAGAGATTGAGAATCTTGCAGAATCTTGTCCCTAATGGAACAAAGGTAAAAATATCATACTCAATTATTAAAGTAATTGAATTAATTAAACTCATTTAAAAGTTTATGTTTGCTAAGATTGATGGTATCCTATAACTGATAGCTTTACGCATAATATGACAGGTTGACATTAGCACAATGCTTGAAGAGGCAGTCCAATATGTGAAGTTTTTGCAGCTTCAAATAAAGGTAAGACCAAATTTTCAATTATATATATATATACACACTTCATAAATTCAGTTTCTGGCAACAATTATCATTGTTCAAACTTACAGGGAACATATTTTTCTAATCTTTATCCTCTATCTTTGTAGTTATTGAGCTCTGATGACATGTGGATGTATGCTCCCATCGCCTACAATGGAATGGACATTGGACTCTACCGAAAGATTTCATAATTAAGGAGCTGTTATTTTTTTTTTTTTCTTAACTTCCAGTTATTTGAAAAAACAAAAAACAAAAAGAGAGGGAGAATTTATGCGCTGACTTGTAATGGGTTAATAAACTTAATATAAATAAAATTTCATATTCAGTCATGAGGAGTAATTCTCATGCTCTACAATATTCTATGTTATCTACACTTAAGTACTGATGTCGAACACAAATATATGTATTTAGAGAAATTGGATCTGTCTATCTACTAAATTATTGGACACGGGGATACGGAATATTGGTGTCCAAAATTCAGACACAAATATAGGCATACAACTACAGAACCTTATTATGAATTTCCCTACGGTTGCTTAACTTGCTTCACCACTTACCAGTAGCTGTATTAGGTCAATCGTCAACTGGAAATCCAAAAAGGCAAAAACCAATCCATAAAAAACATAGGACTACAGGATAAGGAGAGTGACGAGAGTCCAAACAAATTTGATAGGTTCTCTAATTAGCTTACACTTACAGTACTTTAGTTACACCATCCTTCATCATTTCCTCTTCGCTTAGTTCTAGACTTCTAGTGCACAGCATGACAACACCACCACACTTGCACAATGTGCTGTCTGTACTTTGCACCAAAAAATAGAAATATTATATTTGAATTTATTTTGTGAACAAAATAAACAAATGAAAATTTGTTGAGCATAAGGCTAGAGAAGCTTACCTGTTGGTTGCTAAATGCCTAAAGATTCACCTGTTAATTTTTTTACTTAAGAGTAAAGACTTTAAAATTTAAACCACAACTATATCATATAGTCATAGTATTACCATTTACCAAATTCCAACTACCAAGTACCAATTAACAAAATGTACATTCTTGATTCTTCATGGTATTTGTTCTAATTAAGTAACTCCTAAGATTTTAACAGTTTATGTAATATAAATCTTAGGTACAGTGAGTGGTACACATCTCATATCACCTAACACGTCAAAAATTTAATAGTACCAATTAAGTTTTGAACTTTTGATATAATTGCTTCATTTCCCCAATCAATGATTTTGAAACTTGACCTTGTTTGAATTCTACGGTTGGTTCAGCCCTTAGACCATCTCCAATGGCCTCTCAAACTCAAAATATAGCAGGTGGATGAAAATAAGGCACTCCAATGGTGTAACGACCCCAACCGGAGGTTCGGATCGCTAACCGAGTCCTTAACCAAACCCGAGGATACACTAGGGGTAAAATGATCATTTTACAATATGAAAGGGTAATAAGACTTCAAACTAGTCAAATGAAGTCTAAAACAATCATTCTGGTCATTCCATGATGCTTGGTGAAGTTTTACGGTTATCGGTTATGAATTTCCAAAAGTACCCTTTCCCGGTTCAAGGGGAATTCTGACACTATCCCACTAAAATAACCATAACTCTCAACTTGAATGGAATTTGAGGATCAGGTTGGTCTGATTGGAAAGCTAACTCAAAATCCTTGAAAATGGACTCAAGAATAACCTATTTGGGTTCAGGACAAAGAAGTTATGACTGTCCGAAGTCAAGCGTTCCAAGCTACCAACTGAAGAAGACAAAATAGTGCACTGGGGGACTTGAACCGGTTCAATGGGGCTGAACTGGTTCAAGATGGGAAGAATGATCATTCTTGAACCCAAGGTCCCCCCTAAACTGGTTCAATGGGGTTGAACCGGTTCAAGAAGCTCAGAACCTCATAAATGCCCCAAACAACCTAAAATTGTGATCTTGTGCACTTAGGCACTCCTTTGGTCCCTTGGTGACCTTACTTAAAGCCCAAACCTGTCCTAAATCTTCCATTAATTTAATGATGAAACTAATACAACTAGGTAGTACTAAAATCAAATAAGGCCATACATGAATCCAATACACCATTAAATTTAAACAAGAGTGTCAAACATCAAAAAATATGGCATTAAGGGCTTATATGGATATTGAAATCATAATGGGACCACAAAATACTAATGGATGGTGTCAAGACCATTTCCAACCATGTGAAAGATACAAAATGATCCCTAGTACTATTTACAACAAAAAGGGGTGAATTACACATTAAGCACAAAAGAGTCCAAGTCCGTCAACCCAACTAAACTGGTGGTGGATTGTCGTCCGTCACTTCTTTACCATGCCCTGAAAAATGTTAAATACAAGGGGTGAGCAAAATTGCTCAGTAGGTAATGCCTAAGACACACCTCTTGTAACCCCTTGAATCCAAACAATGAATAGAAAATAGAGAACGGGATCATACTATACGGGAAAATACCATACAATCACAAGGTCACAAATAACAATGTAATGCCATGGAATGCAATGCCATGCTACGTTGCTCCCCATTTTCAAAATCACTTCTATTTCCTCACTTTTCAAACCGCTAACGTAACCCGCCCCTCGGTGACCCCTTGGTGACATGAGAGAATGATTGGCTACTGTCCTTGACTCTTGGTAACCCCGCGGTGTCATTTGGGCCCAGATAGCTCAACCATGCTAGGACGATCTCCCTAATTCCCTCTAAGCTACATTAATGCCACAGACCCTCAGTACTCTCTTGGCGTTCGGGTTTTCACAAAAAACTCATTATCAAAACTTTTTCCCAAAATCTATTTTTTTTTTTTCATTTTGAAACCATTCTTTCCCATTTTCCTTACCCAATGCTATGCATAAATGTATCATGCTTTTCCACGTCCTCTCAATGTCCATTATCATACATCCAAGTGTTAGAAATTGTGAATGAAAATTGTTTAATTAGTCATCAATAGATGCCTTGGACTAAACAGGTGCGATTACTGGTTGGTTGTGGGATGAAAAGATGTAACTCAAAACCAACAGACATAACTATTCATGTGAACCATTACAACCTATTGGAGTGAATGTGTTTATTGGTGAACAGACACCATATGAACCATTGCAACCTATTAGAGTGGATATGTTTATTGGTGAACAGACACCATGTGAACCATTGTAACTAATTGGAGTGGATGTGTCCAGTGTGAAGAGACACATATAAATGGTTGTGTCCAATGATAAAGAGACACATATAAATGGTTGTGTCTAATGACGAAGAGACACCCAATCCGAAAAGGCACATTACTTAAAAACTACTTTTTAGTTTTTTCCAAAGGGTTGCACCCACCCGAAAAGACACCTTGTTGCCTATAAATACCCCCCTTTGATTCATTTGCGTTCATTTCATTTTCTTCTATCTCCCTCTCTAGATATGAACCCAACCCAAGTGGGTTCAAACCATAGGTTAAGTGGTCTGAGCCACTTAGACCCTAATCCAATTTCATCGAGCCATATTAAGATTGGTCCGAACCACTTGGTTCGAATTACACCAAATTCAGCATTTATATAGTATCATTTTTGAGTCAAAGAGAGTATTACACGGAGGAGGTTTGCCGTATCCATAAGTTTGTAGTGCTGCTACTAGTGGATATAGACCGTTGTATCCTAAGAGATAAACACCACTGAGTCCGTTAGCACCATAGCGGTGCGAATCTGTCTTAAGGACATAGTATTCAATACTAGCCTCGGTCCAGGTTCTTTATTTATTATTTATTAATTTATTACTTTATTTTGCATATTTAATTAAATATATAGTTACATATTTAATTAATTATTTCTAAGCATATTGTTAATTATCTCATGGCATATTAGTATAAGGGTTGTTATATCTTAAACGTCACGTGAAACATATATATTTACCAACAATCTTAAGACAGACTCATTTATTGCGTAGATTTAATTATATGCTTCTATTTAAGATATAAACAAGTAGATATTATACTAATAGTTGAGATATAATAAAATAATGTTATATACATTATTATATGATAATATGCTAAATATTGATGTGTTCAATTTTATGTGAAATTGAAGCATGTTATATAAGTAAATTATTGAATTATTTATATAATTCTATATTGGTTGAATTATTTTAATTTTGTAATATGATATTATGAAGTATATTACATTACCTTAAACATGTGCCAACTAGAGGTGAAAAAAGGTACTTCGTTACTTTTATTAATGGTTGCACAAGATACTGTTATGTATATTTGCTACGAAGCAAAGATGAAACCTTAGAAATGTTTAAACATTACAAAAAAGAAGTTGGGAATCAACTTGGCAAAAAGATCAATGTGTTAAGAAATGATGAATGCTATGTTGATAAGTTCTGGTTTAACTCAGAATTTGTGGGGAGAAATTTTGCTTTCCACAAATTATATTCTCAATAAAATACTTAAAAAAAAAAAATTGTGACACCATATGAATTATGGAAAGGTTGAAAACCTTCCTATAAATTCTTAAAAGTATGGGGGTGTCTATCTAAGGTTGCAGTTCCTACTCCTAAGAAAGTTAAAGTGGGGCCTAAAATGTGACGACCTTATAGGTGAGTGTGTCATGGACGGATGCAAGAGGCACTGATAAGCTACCACACTGGGTGAGCTATAAGTGCACAGTTCTACATCGCTTAGGTAAGGGAAAGGTGAAATGATTTTATGTGGTGGTGTTATCTCTAATTGGTATGTGGCATTTTCGGGATAAAACCCAAGAACAAAACTGTGTTGGTTCGAGCCCAAAATGGACAATATCATACCATGTGGTGGAGTGGATCGTTACATAAAACCTTTGGAAGTTGGAGTTCACCCTTAGAGTTACGGGCTACTGATGTCTGGGCTTGGAAATTGGGCCGGATGGTCTGGGTCTGTAATCTATATGGGAGCCATGGCTTTGTCTGGGCTTGCTCTGGACTGGGCTGATCTAATTTGGGCTCGGCACTGATTGGGCCCTTGTTATATCTAGAGTATTTTGTAGTGTGATGACGTGGACGAGTCTTACTGGAAGGGGGATTTTTTTCCTCCATACTTTGCCCCTAATTCCCTTTTTAAATGGACCACGGCTCCTAATTAAAAAGGGAATTAAAGTTACACGGTTGCCAACTCTTCAAAAGACGGTTCGAAGTGTGCCTGTTGCCATTCTGACAAAAAAG